GAAGCCCGACGATTCATGGGAGATCCCCGGGCAACTTACACGCAACCTATCCATTCCAGATCATTGCAATGGATCATATACCGTCGTTGCTCAAGTCTATCAAGGGGAATACCGAACTGCTCATTTGGGTGGACCTCTTCTCGGGATATGTGATTGCAAAGGCTAGCTCAACACGAACAGCACAAACAATAGCGGAGAATTACGAAGAATGTGTATTTCGACGCTTCGGAGCTAGCGAGGCTATCAGACACGATCGAGAACCGGGATTTATGTCCGATTTTTTCCGAGCCTTCAGTCGGATCGTAGGACAGAAACAGCGTGCTACTATGGCCTACAGGCCACAAGCAAATGGAACAGCCAAACGAATGGTGCAAACCTTGACGCATTTGCTCAAGATGTACGTGGCTGAAGTGGACCAACGGGACTGGTATGAGTATGCTGAGCGACTCACATTTGCAATTGACACCGCACAATATCGGATTCGGGGGGACAACCCATTCTATCTGATTCATGGGTGGGATTCACGATCGACGTTGGAAGCTACGTTATCAGTGGGGAACACGAGAACGAGAGATCGCGATCCGAAGCGGTGGAGATATAGTATCTAAAGACAATACCAGCGAGCTCGGTCCGCGGTGAACGATCAACTACGAGCTGCGATCCAAGAGAGGGCAGATCGCCATAACGAAGATTTGTAGCAACACGAGATCGAAGTGGGAACGCAAGTCTGGCTATACTTAGATCGGGTCAAGGAAGGATACGCGAAGAAACTAGCACATATGTGGCATGGCCCATTCCGAGTTGCGGATATATGCGGAGATCACGCGGTGAAGTTGGAGATCGCTGGAACCCCATATCGGTTATTTCCGATTGTACACCTATCGAAACTAAAGAGAGTTAAGACGTTCCCTGAACGGCCAAAATACCAGCTGACAATAGATGAAGCAGATCGCTTAGGTTTTGATGAAGCTCTGCTACCAGAGGACAGTTGGAAGAACGATCTTGAAGAGGTAGAATACGAAGTAGAAGAAATATTGGACGTGCGATCTGGTAGGAAAACCCGTTATGGGCGAGTACACCGACAGTTTCTGGTGAAGTGGAAGCTACATCCCGATCTAAGTTGGGTGGATGAGGCCGATCTGAGTTGTGGGGCGATCTTGCAAGAGTTTGAGCGGAACCGAGCGAGTCGAAACCGTTTCGAAGCGATGCAGTCTCACGAAGGCAAGTCGGACGAACCTTAACAGTTCGAACAAGTATGCGGGAGGTTGCACATGCGGATGGTAGGGTTAAAAGATGTGCTAGGCGGTAGCACATGCTGGTGGATGAGGTTGCAAGATCTGCTGGGAGGTAGCACAGGCTGATGGATGGTGTTTTGTGTATGAGTATGGAGATAGTCACGTAAATTACCTTACTGAATGATGTGGAGCGAGAAGGATCGAGGTCGTGGAAGTTGCAAAGAATGAAGTACCAAAAAAGAGACGATGATCGAATGACTTACACGATTATGAAAGACGATCGGGCTTGGGCAACGATCTTGAACTAAGACGATAGAGCAGGCTTGAACTTGTTCTGTAGACGAGGGATCTGCGATCCCGGGGATATCAGTGGCGATCCGGCTGGACCTAGATGGATTGGAGACGCATTTTGATCTGGGGCGATTGGAGCAAACCTCCCGCGATCCGGCGATCCAGACGACGGGTCGCGATCCGGAGACAGAAACACGGCGGAGCCTTCTGACGAGATCGGCGAGGTGGGGAGATGCGTTGGAAAGGCCATGAGACGGACTTGAGTGGTTGGAGCGAAGTTAATGAGTGACTGCACTGAGGTCAATTGCTGTACAATGGACTTCAGTACAGAGGGCGGTTGTGGTGATGTCACTAATCAAATTTTGTACGAGGATCGGTGGCTACACATTTGGGACGCCACTTACTGGTGAAAAATGAGGCCATGGGACCTGGCGATCCAATGAGGAGATGGAAGGCGATCTCAACGGGAATCGGCGATCTGGTCCAACTGTCACCAGACTGATGGGTACGGATCGACCTGAGACGGGGTGATCTGGGACAAGACGACAGTTAGAACGATTTCCATGGAGCGATCTGGGACAAGGATCTGAGATCGGGCGATGTGATGTGACTCTGTGACGAAGGTGTAACATCCTGCAGACCGGTGACACTCTCTACGGGTCTCCCAAAAGGAGTACTGATTTAGGTTAATTATGGACCGATCTGGAAGTGGGGATGTTTGTGGGGGTCCGTGGGACCGTTGTAAGAATTGTGGATGGTCCCATTGTGCGGATAAACCGTTGAGTATAGTATCGGAGCATGCACAATGAACGGAAAATACAGATAGGGCCGGATCGCACTGTGTCGATCCTCAACGATCTCGAATTGGACATCAGATCGGTCATGCTCCCTGCTGGTTATGGATATATCGATGATGGAGCTATCGAATCGTGTTACACATGCTTGTTGGAGACCCATGAGTGATGTCTCAAAAGTTCAGACCGAAAGAGCCAGTGGAAGCCGGTCGAAGTGACGTCACAAAATGGATTTAGACACGTTCCACATCTTGGATACTATTTTGGACTTTTCGGTACCAAAATTGGGTATTTGGTACCATATTTGGGATTAGCTCCTTTTTTGGTGTCTAGGTGCGATATCGGGAGTATTGGCGCTATCTTTGGAGTACAGGTCACGAAACCTCGACACGTGTTCAAGGGGGCGGTCAAGCTTAAAGGTGATATCGACTTGGAGAGTGACCTACAGTTTGGAATAGGCTTAAGAATAGGTTGGTTATTAATTTGGTTGGTAAATAAACAGACTATAACTCTACTTCTTCTGCACACGACGCGCGTTCCTCCCCTCTTATCCGGGCAAGATTGATTTGGCTTCCCCGGCGGGTCAAGGCACGCGTGTTACAGGGACACAGAAGACCGATCTTGGATTGTTGGCCAAGATCGAGAAGAGCGATCTCGGGATATCTGGCCCGGATCGATCAAGTACTCACACTTAACTCAACTGCTAGGGTAGCAGCCACACAACAAAGGAAAAGGAAAAGGATTTTGGACACAAGATCGCGAGACGGCTCAATTGGTCAGAAGATCTGGACAAGGCGTTCAAGACAAGACCGAGCGAGATCGAAGCGATCTGCTGGACATGTCGGCGTGTTTCATTTTGGCGAAACCAAGAACCGATCTGTCCATATTGCGCATTTCCAACAAGATCGGCTGATCCCGAGACCAGATCGGACCGATCCCAACGCAAGATCGATGCAAGAAAACTATTTGCTGAGTGAAGATTTCCGCACAGCAAAGACCCCGATCCCAAAGACAAATCGATATCAGTGCGATTCAAGATCGAGATCGCGACCTCTTTAACTAGAGATCGCCGCGACTCGAGATCAGGATCGCAGAACCTTGTTCGTGGTGTGAAGATTTCCACTCCGGAAGCGAACGCTCAACCCAACCTCTCAGCGAGATCGATATCTCCCAAGGCCATTATGAAGAGCTCAAGCCAGCCCAACTGACGGGTACACAAGGTGAGCACAAGGCTATACAACAAGGCACGGATCGGAGTACCCCCTCCGTGAGTCGGCAAGTCTGGGCAAGTGGAAGATCGACACTCACTAAAGTAATTTTGAGAGATCGACTTCACCTCACACCAGTGCTCACCGAAGGCACAAAACAGCTCGTATTAAATGATGTGCTGAGAGATGCCGTTTCTCCGATGGAGATTGGACCAGAACTATGATTTCGGACGAAAAGAATTTTAATCTGGATGGACCAGATGTATTCCAAGGCTATTGGCACGAATTGAGGAAAGAAAAACGGGTTTTTTCGACACGTCAATCCGGTGGTGGCGGGTTCATGGTATATAGTGCCTTTGAAGGCGCTAAGACAAGCATAATGACTTTCTTATACGGGAATCGAAAGAGCGAAAAGTACGTAAGAAAAACTATCTTGTACCTTTTTGGACGAGCTGGGTGGTGATGGACTGACTCTTCAGCAGGATAACGCGTCGATACACCAATCTCGGTATACGAAGGCGTGGTTTGCGGACCAGAATTTTTCTCTTATTGACTGGCCAGCGAATTCGCCGGACTTAAGCCCGATTGAAAAAAATATGGTGTGGTGCTTGAAAGGGTCGTATATAAAAAGTGGGCCGCAGTTTTGGTCGCGAATTGAGCTGATCGAGTGCATTTAAAGTGCTGGAACGAAACTGGCCACGCTTTCCTCCAAAAGATTGCCCGTTCTATGCACAATCGGTGCGTGGAAGTGATTAAAAACCCGGGACAACAAGATTGAATATTACGGACTCCTAGCAACGCTAAGGTCGAGAGGGTACAGTTATCGTTTTTCTTTTGGTGGTTATATCATTATTGTCGTACAATTTTTAAATTCAGCATCAAACAGTAACTTTGGATCCAACAATCGGAATTTTTAAAGAGATGAACAGTCCTATTCACCTTTCAATGGGCTACATATTGGCATATTTATTTTCCTAAAACTCGGATTGCTTGCTTCAACATTGCAAAAAACATGGGTGGATGTATCATTCCTGTCCGCACTGTATCCGAAGCGCTTTGTTCTACCACGTACTAACTTCCACATGGAGTTTCCCAGTACTTCGTCCGTTTCAAAGTCTTTTTCCCAAATCGAGCGATTTTTTGTTTCATAATGTTTGTCCGTTTCGTCAAGATTAATTTATAAAAGAAAAAGGAAAAGAAAAATGGCATGTATCATTTTATTTGGTAAATAGAGAAAGTGCCATGTCGTACAAGCTCGGTTGGCAACTGAGCGATCGGGGCAAGTTGGCATGTCGACGAATAGTGGCCTTCTTCGAATGTGGTATCCCATTGTGATGGTCACCATCGTCTTTTAGAGCTGCAGTCATACACGACTGCAGCGAAAGAAATACGTTTTCTAGTTTTTCTATCTTAAGATCCATGAACGACTTTTGGACTGCTTCTACCAACTCGTCGTAGCTACGAGGATCCACTTAGTGCTGTAGTGTCTGGATAGATCGAAAATAGCCTAATTCCAGCACGTTAAATTCCGGGCTATTAGGAGGCTGGCACATTGCGCGTAGTTTAAGGCGCAACTGGCGGCCAGCCTCACTCACGAGCGGGTCATCTTCCTTGACGTAAGGCCGCGCTTTGTCCTGTTGTAAGTAAATAGCTCCGCGTTGGCTGCGACGCGGAAACTTGGCGGTGATCGCAGGAATGACGTTTTCCAGCAACATGTCGACGTACTCCGCTCTCTTCACGGCAGTTACTGGCTTGAGCTCAACATTTCCAACCAGGCGACTCTTGTTGGTCCGCTGCGCGAACGTCCGTTCCACGAAAGACCAGATGTCCAACTTTCCATCAAACCAAGTACCACTGATAGCGTCCTTTCTCGGCCTGGCGACTGCTGCTAAACATCACCTTGCCGATAAAACGCTTGCTTTTACATCTTCTAAAACATTACACATAAGGTCACTCGTATTAGCACTGCATACCCGTTTGAAATACTAAACCGACAACGTACATACCGGAGCGGCGCCGGCTCGTTAGGAGACAGGTAAATTCGCTGGGACGATCGTGTCATGTAAAACCATTTTGCGTCGAGATGAATTACGTCGTACATAGGTACGTAGAGCAGTGTCGACTCGTCTACAAAACGAACGATGAAAGAAATTCGCGCGCTTGCTCTCCCCCTATCAGCAAGGGTTTGATAGCGTTGGTCGTGGCCATGATGTCATTGCGCTAGCGCATCCTACAAAGCGTAGGGGACGATACTACCGTAGCATGTGCCAAAGAGTGCAGTGTGTATCGCTTACGATACGGCGCAGCCTCCCTTCTCTTGTGAACTGCATACGAAGCAATCCTTTCTTTGCCTTTCTTACCCTTAGTTTTGGATCTAACATCCAGGAGGTCCGATGAGTGGGCCATGGTGTCGCCACCGCGGTTCCATACCCTCATTTATGGATTTACAGAACACGCATATGTTAGCGCCGCTGACTCAAAATCAGTACTACTTACCTTCATGTATGCACCAGCAGACTGAAGGAGCGATCCAATTATACCAGTTCGCTCGAGGTCTGTGAGGTTCTTCGAACGGCGTTTGGGTTCGGTGCTCATCTTCGACAATGACGGCACTACTAGCAAGCAGGCAATGATGTTTACTGTTTAAAACGATAGATGCAGATGAGTCAAAATTATAGAGGCAAATTTGCGTGAAATTGGTCCAAAGAAGCGTCTCGTTTAGGCGTCTATTGCTATTTATCAAAGGCGATTAAGCTTTCCGAGCATAGATAGAGGTTTTTGACCTTTTCTAAGCTTTTAGTAGAACTGTCAAGCGTGACAATTGGTGGCCTGCAGGCTTCGCAATCAGCGTCGGTGCAAAACCCTTTAAAATGAAGGGTTTTGAGGGGCTGATTTCTCGGCTTCCAGTTACCGGACGAATGAATCCACCGACAACACAGACTGAAAGAGATTTGAATACGTTTATTTTGAGGTGCATTAGCCAATTCGGCTATAGAAAATTACCTTATTTTCTGCTGTTTTGTTGAAAAGGGACAAACATGTTGAAACGGAGGGAGTATAAGTTTACGGGAGAGGCTAAATACACCTGGCATCATTGCTAAACACACCGCCGCCTATCTATTAGGCTTAATGTTTATATGGCAACCGTTGTATCACATTCGGGACACGTCGTTTCGAATATTACAGGATAAGCGAAGTAGAAAGACACCTGTAACATAGACACGTCAATTCAAAAAGAAAAACTTCGTTGTCTAACGCATGATGATGAGCCCTTCATTCACCTCCACTACTTCTGCTGTCACAGGCTACGGTCGTTAATGCTGATACTAATTCTGTCACCTCCACTACTTCTGCTGCCACTTCTGCGGTCTTTGATATTGATACTAACTCTGACGTCGCTGACAATCATGTCAGGTTCCAAGTTGATGCTGGCCCTAATCCTGCCGCCGCTGATCTCTCATGGATCTGTGAAGAATCTCCACCGGTCGGGCCTTTTGAAAGTCAAAAGACGGCTGTAGAGGCTTTGAAGCTGGACGCCGTAGCCAAGGCTCTGCTATTAGTGTATCCCGCGGCTGTTCGATTGGTCCCAAGCGCAGTTTTCTCACATATTGGCAGAAAAAACATCGTAGGAGATCCCACAGTCGGCACACGTCAATGCGAGACCGCGGAACAAAAAAGGTCGGCTGTCCATGCGAGCTCGTGATCATGTATGACAAGCACGCCCCCGAAGAAACTGCCTGGTCAACGATTTTAGTGGACAACTGATACACCGGCCACGCTCGTTGTATCAGCAAGACCATGCTCTCAGCGCCACCGGCGGCGCGACGTGCGAAGCGATAAATTGACGATATCAATTTTAAGGTCGTCCAGATGCATCAGGATAGAGCTGCTCCACGGGTATGTGTGCGTGTCGAAGTCATTTACAGCAGGTCATTATCGGTTTTTTGTCTGTATGTGATTAATATAGGTTATTTTAAATCAGTTTAAGGAGGCGGGTATCCTTATAAATGCCAAGGATGTCTTCAATATCGTTTAGCAGGCAAACAAAAAGGCACTTGGTGGAAAATTACACACGGAAGCTCTGCTGCACCACATGAAGGACCAGCATATTTTATCTACGGTTGCAGTGTTAAGCCGCGGTGCATTTTTAAATACCTTATTCTGTAATTTATTTAAATTAGCATGGCCTGGCTCTGCTACAGGTGCATTTCTGATCAGCTCATCCTGGAATACCTGAAGTGACGCGGCCTGAATGTGATACAACGGTTGCCACATTCCGCCCTCGCGGTCAGAGGGAGTCACGTATTCCCAGCCGAAGCTTCGCCGGTGGGCGACAGCAATTTTATTGGCGTCTCCGTTATGTACGGTCGGGTCAGAATTGGGCGTGGCGGCAGCATTATCTCTTCGGCATCCCCCCCATTTCGTTATGAATATGACTGGGTCACTGTGAGTCGGGGTTGCGTCGTGGGAGCTCGCAGGAATTCACTAGAGGAGAGAGACGGAATGGTGCAGTTACGCCAGGGCTCCGATGGGCTGCATTGGTTGTTTCAAGACGGCCTACCCGAGCTCCACACGGCGTCGGACGGTGACAGCCAGCGATGGGCTACGCACATCCGGCAGCACGGCGTGGTCTTTTATGCTCACCCAAGTCACCACCACTTTGCGTGGGGAGTACCCGAAACGGTTCCTAATGGAGCTCTCCGTCAGGCTATTTTGCACCGGGCTTTCTCGCTGCACAAACACCGACTAACTCGGCCTTTACTACCCTTATTGGAGCGGCTGGATGCAGTCTATCGAGAGAATTCGTGGCTAAGGGCGGCGGCGATCAGCAACCATCCCAACTTTGGAAACATGATAACGGACTCTCCGACTATCAAGTTTGGACGGCGTATCGAGTCGCCACCAAGCAGCTAAATTTTCATCATGCCGGGCGGGCTGCTGACCCCAGCTGCCGGGCCCTGCCTACGTGTCACGGGGTGCCGAAACGTCGAGGACGTCTTTTGGGATTGTCAGAAGGCGCGGGCGTGCTGGGCTAAGTTCATCAGCCATTGGATCGGCGCTTCTGTGTCGAGTGCGGTAGTCCATAGTTGTCTCAGCAACTGTGCGAATCGACAGGCTCCGGCGATCCCGGCGTTTCAGCGGTCTCGGTTGCTCGAGCGGTTTCACGATGATGCCGCAGCGGGGGAAAAGGTGTGGCGACGGATTTGGTTTTTAATGTGTTCCGTTTGCATTACGCATTTATGGAGCGAGCGCAACGATGCCGTGTTCAGAGGCGTGCAGTCTACGACGGCTCAAAGTGTCGTCCATTTCTGGACAACCGGCGTCCGTCAATTAACGGCCTTGGCTATGCGTGAGCATAGGGGGCGTCGACAGTTCTTCGAGGGGCTCGATTACATGCCTCCCTTGAACTTTTTACTCTTGAGGCTAGCGGAGTTTCGCTACCACTAGAGAGGTGCCTTGATCCACCGCCGCGACCGGCGCTGTATTCTAGGCTTAGAAGATTTCAGACTTCTAGCGCGTAACCATCATGTGCAATAGACAGTCATGAATCTCTCTCTCTACAACGGTTGCCACATAAATATTGAGTCTAATGGATAGGCGGCGGTGTATTTACCAATAATGCTAGGTGTATTTAGTCTCTCCCTAAGTTTACTAGCTAAAAAAATTCCAGATGGAATTTGGCTCGTTGTAATCAAAGCGCTTCCGATCAAACGTGCTATCTATGTCGACCTTTCGCCAGTGCGAGTACGACCGATAGATTTTTTCTGCTTGAGCGTTCGATCAGCATGACCGCAGACAACCCTCGTGCAATCTTGTTACGGGACGGCACCAAGCGTATACAAAATCAAGTGAACATCGCTGGCAGGGAGGGAGGTGTCTATCGTTGAGACCGCAGAGCGTCCTGTATTACGTGCCTCTTTCTGACGATCACACGCGACTTCATCAGGTCGCACTTGCCGCGCATGGGTGGACACATGTAGCTAGTCGACAGTTGCATGAACGTGAGTTACGACAACTATTCGACTGGCAAATCCACTTTTCCATCGGGAACCTCAACACGCAGAAGTTCTTCTGTGCGACGTCCAGCGTGTGTGACAACAGCGGGCTCCTTGAGCGAGAGAACGCAACTTGCTCCGCAAAAGAACGTCCCGTCTTCGATACCGATTCGATTGGAGCACAGAAAGTAGCAGTTCCGTTTGCCGTACTCATCTTTTTGTAGCGCATCGATGACTGGAGACAGGCGTTGCATCCAGTAAGTGAGTGTCGAGTCCGGCTCGATGTCGTGTGCCTCGAAATCGTTCCAGGCACACGCGAATAGCACCAAGTCGCTTTGGTTCTCCACCACATGTGTGCCAAACTCATAGGCTGAGAACGGAGCCTTGAAGTCGTCTGGATTGATGTCCATGCAGATGCCGAATGAGATGGTCTTGTCAAGCCACGGGCAATACCACGTACAAAACCCTTCTCCTGCCGTAGCCCATGGCTTATCGGTCTCATACAAGAACGTCTTGCGTGGGTTGCACACGAGTTCCCCCGCAGGGCTAACGACCAGCATCGAGTTGTACAGAAGGTCTCCTTCTCTCTCGACGTATCCACATGTCACCATACAGTGCAGCCGGCGCGCGTGGCGCTGACACCATCGATACGTCATTCCGTCGTTGTTTCCTTCTGCGACTTCAGCTACTTCAGCCTTGGTGTGGAACTTGTACCCTGTGAATGCCATCTTCCACGACAACAACAGGTCTATCCAGTTACTACGGGAGCAACACGTAACTCCACTTTCTCTCCAGCACCTCAGCACCTCACCTCTGGCAGCATCATAATGTCGATGTGGTCGCCCTCGGACAGCGACGCGACCATCTGATCCACGTACTGCAGCAACACCATCGAGTCCAAGACAACGTCACACACATTCCAGACACCGCACACTCGCCAGACGTCGTCGTCATCACGTCACCTGCATGTTCCGCTCGACCTGCCCGAGCTGCGGGTCTGCACATAACAGCACAAGCACAAGTGGACTTCAGCTCGTCAGTACGCCCACTACAGTCTGTCTAACGTCACTCACGGCGGACCAGCTACGCACCATACTGCACGATAGCGATCTGCATACTTTTGGCACGAAGGATTGTGCAGTCCCACGAACTATCTTTTCTGTACATTTGTGGAAATGTCCAGTCAATCAAACGAACGAACAAGCGATTGGTCAATCAATCAAACAAACGGCTGGTGTATCAAACGAACAAGCGACTGATCCAGCAAATAAACAAACGACTGATCTACCAAGCGAACAATCGGCTGGTCCATTGTGCAAACAAATGATCAAATGAATAAATAATCAAGCAAACCAACAAACAATCAAGCAACCCACCATCGATCAATAAAACAATTTAAGCAAACAAACACCCAATCAATCAAACGATCCATTAATCAAACAAACGATTAAGTAACAAAAGTCCCGATCAAGCAAACAAACGAACATCCGATCAATCAGACGATCAATCAAACCAACACGACCCCTCTGCACTCTGAAGTCGCTCGATGAGCTCAGACATCTGTCGACGAAGGTCCGTCGCTCGGTCCTGCGTTGCATAAGCAGAGGGACTCGTCTCATTTTGCAGCTGGCGGCTGAAAAACTCGGCTAGCAGCAGCACATATACACCGCAATCGTAGCTATTCTGCTGCTGAGGGGCGTCTACTACCTCCTCTACTCGATCAGAAGCTCCATCTCCATCCTGTCTGCCAGCCGCATGCAACAGCCGCTCAAACGATTTGGCTACTCGTCTAGCCGCGTGTTGATTGTGGCCAGAGCTCGAGTCAAAGTGACGGAAACTGCCGTCGCGGTAAAGCAGCAGCGACCAGTGACTGCTGCCTCCACCCAGTGCTTCGTTGTCCGTCACGGGGACAATGCAAACACGTCGGGATTGGAGGTCTAGACCTCTGGCCAAGTCAGAGTACTCGTTTTCGTCCTCGCACTGATGCAGCAGACACGAAACAACGGCCGGGTCCATGAGCAACGTGTCGCTCGGAGCGCACGTGTGCGTCAGGTACTGCAGGTAGAAGTTGATGGCGGTGTCATTGAGCCACTGGCGACTTGCGAAGAGCGCCACGTCGGACTCGTAGAGCAGCACGTCGTGGTACTTCAGCACTTGCTTGGCCATGTTTTTGCAGTGTTGATTTGTGATGAACAAGAGGGAGAAGGTCGGACGGGCACACGCCCGTCTGGAGTTTACGACTGTTAGAAACGCGTACTTTGTCGCTGTTGAAAGAAACCCGCAGATCACGCGCGAGCCGCCACATTCCACATAAAACGTGCGTTGACAGTGCGTTTCTAGCACTCACGAGCGCGTTTTACACTACGTATCACACGTTCACTTCATTAAATCTAGCGCGTTAAACTCCGTACCACACGTCCACTTCATTAAACTTAGAGCCCTTGGCTCGTGGCAGCGTATTCGTTACGTTCGGTCGGTCGGATCTACTGCAAGTCCCTTTGTTGCTCAGATGGAGCCCATTCAATTCTTCGACTGCGGTTGCATCGACGCCGTTTTGTGAAATGCCGAAAGCAATACCTGTCGGACACACGTACTTGTGATACCCGCGTTTGCTCTGGGACTGCAACAGCTCCAAGTAACCCCCGGCGTTGCTTTGGTTGCTGCTTTTCGTCTCCTACAAGAAGTTCGCACGAGTATGCACAGCTTCACGCAGCTTGCAGATCATTTCGAGTGTCATCCACTCGCAGCCTTTAATCCTTTCGTCAGCCTTGCAACAAGCGTCACACGACCAAATGACGTAGCGAGAGACGACCCATCAGCTGCGTATACACTCATGCGCAAGCAAGTAGGTACAGCACAAGTAGACGTTGGAATGGCTAACACCTCGAGCTCATGTTGTGCTAAATGCAGTCTCTTGAACATTTCAGCATGACTACGTCCTCGCCAAGACAACAGAGCAGTTCCTCTTGAGATTATGAGCCGCTCGCCGAGTGCCGTAGTACGCACGCACACTATTCCGTAGCCACTATGACCCGAATCGCAAAACGGATCGACTGACACCCGATCACTTTGCTCGCCCGTCGTGCGTGCACCAGGAACGCTTTGTTTGTCGACGACCGGGCAGCTCGTCGACGCGGTCAAGGCGACTGATAGCAAACGGGCCACAGCAAGCTCATCGGTGCCAACTCCTGCGGAAAAGTGCTCGTGCGGAAGAGTGACTTGGTCCATAGAAGACCAAACTCGGGTCACGACAGCACACTGCACGCGCTCGCACGAGCTGCTACGGTCGACAGATTCGTGACGCACCGCCAGTCGTCGCCTGTCTCCACCCGTCGGGCTTCCACAAGGTCGATACGTTCCTAAACTAGTGTTCCGACAAAGCGCGCTGGGCTCAATTACCTCCTGCCAAACAATGCGCTTTTTAGCCCGAAAAAAGCAGAGGCATCCAGCATCTTTTGCTCAGCCACAGCCATACGCACCGGCAGTCAGTCAGTCAAACGCGGCACTTGCCAGACACGCGCATCTTCTTTTCCGCCAATCACAGACGCCCGTCTCACCCTCCGAGCCCGCGCACGCGCAAGAACGAGCAGCGATCATGGCGTCGTCCCTCTTCCCGCAGTTCGGCAACGTGTTCGGCGCGCCCAGTTCCGCCGGTCGCGTACGTCCGCCTGCATCGCCTCTTTGCTCCTGTCCTCTGTGTGTCTGCCCGAGCTGTCGCTGAGTCTGCTGCGTCTGTTGTGTCTGCTGCGTCTATTGCGAGCAGAACGAACTCGTGTCGTTCCACGCTGGCAAAATGACTGTCAAGTCGGCCGCGAACGGCAAATTCCTCGTGACGCCGCAGCTCGAGAAGGGGAAAGTCTGTCTCTCGCGCGGCGACGATCAGCTGCTCCACTTCCAGTGGGTGGACCGCCAGACCGGCGCGAGTCCCGAGGACTTTATCATCTTCCCGGACGACGCGCACTTTGGGAAGGTCGACACGGGCCGCCCCGACGATCGCGTGTACATTCTGCAGTACAAGAACTCGTCACGCCGCTTTTTCTTCTGGATGCAGGTACTTACTGGGGACTCGTCTCTCGTGCCAATTGAGGCTTGACGTGACGCGTGGAGTGGCTGTCTTTTTCTGATGGAGATGTGTGTGCGTGCTGTGCGGCTCAGAATAAGGACGCGTCACGGGACGACGAGCTGGTGAAGAAGGTGAATGATGCCATGAACAACGCACAGGCGGCCTCGAGCAACGACAGCGGTCGCGTCTCTGGCAACAACGTGCAGCTAGACCACAACGCTATCATGCAGATGCTGGGCGCCATGAGTGCAGGAGACCAGGGGCGCGGAGGCGCCAATGGCGGAGGCGTGAGTGGCGGAGGTCAGGCTGTGCAGATGTCGGAGCTCCAGAACATATTGCAGAACATGGGGCTGCCCGCGGAAGCCCAGTCGACGGCCTCGTCGCCAGCAACGTCTGCTGTGTCGTCGTCGCAGGCGTCGCAAAGCGGCGGTGGTATCTCGACGGCAGCTACTACGGCATCCACGCAGCACGACCATGATGTGAGTGGAATGGAAGTGGACGAGATGGACGAAGATGAGCTCTTGCGACTGGCTATTGAGGAAAGCATGCGCGACGGAGGCAGCACGAACCCGGACGCATCTGGAGATGGCGCTGCAGGAGGTAACAGTGACTCGAGCAGCAGCAACAGACCGGCAGGCCATGGTGGGCACAGCGACAGTGACGCCAGTGGAGGCAACATGGACACGTCGTCTTGAGCTGTTGATGGCCCAGCGAACGAATGGAACGCTTGTACCCATGTGGGTAGGTAGCATGTAACTCCCCAACAAAGTTCTACATTTACTCGGTCCACGTTGCGTCCCCCTTGATACTAACGCGTCCCACCAGCGTGAGTAGTCATCGTTGCTGCAGCAGCAGTCGTCAGCTACAAATGTTCTCACATGTTATGTGCTGTACTGCTGTGGACTTTGTAGGCATGCTGGCAACTGTCGTCTGCGGGTCTCATTGCAACACTTCATGTCGTCGACATAGCGCTTAGCTGACGCGTGATTGCCATGTATGTTGCAAATATTGCAGCTGAGTCCGACACTGCCGTAGCGCCAGCTCCAGCTCCGTCTGTGCCGATAGCGCCGCCACAATTTGCCCCACCAGCTGCTGTCGCCGTCCCAGGTCCGGCAAGTACTAATCTTGCTGCTGGTGGAACGCTTACAACGGCAGACCTGCAGCGCGCAATGGCTGCTTTTCAAGGACTTGCGGTAAGCTGCACTTGTCTTCGTCATCGTCTCGCATTGATTGCTAACTGGTTCTGTGCCACAGCAACCGAAGCCGGTGTCCCTGACCAAGCTCCTTTGCGTTGACAACATGGAGAGTGTTCTCAGTGACCCAGCATGCGTCGAGACCTTGCTGCCACACTTGCCCGAAGGCTCCCAGACTCTTGCGGAGCTTCGCACGACGGTACGCCATCTCAGACTCTCTGAACCCATTCTCTCGTGTGCAGTCAGCTCTTACGGTGTTGCCTCGTTCCTGTGGCTGTTTCTCGTCTGCGTCCATTCAGTTGCGTTCTCCTCAATTGCGTCAAAGCATCGGGTCGCTCGTGAGCGCTCTGCGGAACGGCAATTTCGACGCGATCACGGCCAACTTCGGACTGGATCCTGCTGCAGGCGCTGCGAAACTCGCGTTTGGGGACGGTACGTTGACACTGCCGTGCGAGGACCAATTCTGCAGTGACTTGACGGGGATCTTTGGTCTCTTTTGCTGCATGAAACTAGGCGTCGGTGCATTGCTTGCTGCGATCCAGGCGTGGGCAGACCAGCAAAGCACTGCCGAGTCTTCGCCAATCGCGAATGATCGTCAGAGCGCGGCGGACAAGTAGCAGTGCCGACGTCGGTGCCACTTTGGAGATCCCGTGATGCTGTAACGGGTACAGCTCTTGAACGTTGAATGGACACTGTGGCACACCACTTGTTTTCGCATTGAGGACCCTTCGTCCATTTGAACTCTTTCGTTTGCCTGTCAGTTTCCGATCTTGCAGCGTCCACATGGCACATCGCGACAGCAGCAGAGACACCAGTCCAATGTCCAAATGCAGCGCAAGCCACCACTTCTGGCCCGTCCATCGACGGCAAGCTGAGCTTTTTGACGACTGCATCGTGGCTGCAAACGGTCTCAGTTGCGCTTCCGTTCGTTCGGTGGTTCTGGCCATGCAATAAACGAACAGTGTAAGTCGCGCGTTGAGTGCTGTCTACTAACTCACTGCGTTTGCTGCTTTAGCCAACTTGGCAGAGACACTGTGGAGAAAGCTGGTGGTCGCAGTTGTTGTGGGAGCAGTCTGTATTGTTCAGCTGACTGACTGTGCGGGGATCCCTACCTATCTCGTCACTGCCGCTACTGTCGAGGGACCTGACGTCGGCCAAGCAACCTTTCGCTCTCATGGTGTCAGTCAGTGCGCGATGCGTTGCTTGCCACCCTGCGTTGTTGTCCTCAACGTTGAAGCTGTGTGCTCTGTGCCTGCACTGTCGTTGACCATGACTGCTAAACACGCTGGCGCTGCCTGCTTCTGTCAGCTGTGAGATACCATTCGGCCCGAGTCACTGTCCTTGCTAGTGGTGCTGATGTGTCACGAAAAGCGGAGCAACCGGCTGGAATATTGCGGAAGTCGTGTCGCTTGCAAACCCGTGGCCGTGGCTGTGGCTCGATACACCGAGGGTCTTGGACGGATGCCTGGGTAAGAGGACGTAGCCGGAGTCATCACTCGCTGGGTTCTGGGGCATCCTCGCTGGAATGGCCACAGGGTGCGAATGCTGGTGATGCGCTGAGAACGCAGAGTGGGCACTTGGCAAAGACCCGTCTTCATGACGATGGCCGTGCTCGTGGCTGTGACCCTGATCATGACGATGGCCGTGCTCGTGACGATGGCCGTGCTCGTGGCTATGACCCTGATCATGACGATGGCTGTGGCCGTGACTATGACCGTGACCGTGGTCATGACGATGAGTGTGGGTATGGTCCCCATTGCATCCGTTCATCGTTTGTGGTCCCTCAGTTCCATCGCCATCCGCTCCCAGCGTGCGCATCACCTGAGGCTTTGACACCTGCACGGTCAGGAACTCATCAAGTTGAGCATGCCGCCGGAAGATCTCGCGAGTCTGCTGGAGCACACGTTGCTCGTCGGCGGCAGATGTGACCTCGAGGTGCAACGTGGCCACACTCATGTTGCCCGCATGGTGCCAAATATGCCAGCGAGCTATACGCTCGACGCCCGGTACCATTGTTTGTACATCAAGCAGGGCTGCGTCGACTTTGTGCTTCAGCTCCTGAGGTGCTCCCTGTAGCAGTTGGAGAGCTGTGTTCCGCAGCAGCGGTAACGTGCTGCCCAAAATCAGCAACGATATGAGTGCTGAGGACGCAGAGTCAGCCACGTGCCACCCGAACATCTCAATGAGCACCGACGAAATGATCACGCCCACACTACCCATCGTATCGGCCAATACGTGCAGGTACACGCCATACATGTTGCTGTTGCTGTTCCCACCATCGTGGCCGCCGTCTGGTGCATGGCCGCTACCGACCTCGTGGTGACCGTTGCCGTGGCTGTGTCCATGGCCACTGCCGCAGCCTCCATCGTGCTTTGCATCCCCGCCATGGCTGTGGCAATTACCGTGCACGTGATCATGGAAAAAGAATAGACCGACGAGATTCACGACCAGACCAACGGTCGACGTGAGCAGCAAATGGTCTGTCGTCACCTCAGGTGGGTCCAAGAAACGTGACGCTGCTTCAGTAAGCAGGTGAAACGACACGACCAGCAGTAGCAGTGAATTCAAAAATCCCGAGAGGACCTCGACACGGCCATATCCGTACGTGAACTTCGCGTCAGGTGGAAGCTGGCCAATGTAGGATGCCCCGAGACCAATCACGAGAGCACCATTGTCAAACAGCATGTGCCCCGCGTCACCCATGAGCCCAAGCGAATTCGTGCAGAGCCCGACGCCAAGCTCGACAAACATAAAGGCAACATTGACCGACAGGAAGATCAGCATCTGACGTGAGGCGCGTCGTGACCACAATACACCAATGATGTGACTCGCTCCAGACAGCACGCCACCCTTCGAGCTATGACCCAAACTCGGTCGGTATGTGTTCAGACCCGCTTCACTGTCATCGCCGTTGTGGCCACTACCACCGTACGGCAAAACATCGACGCGGCGCCACCCGCTCACAAAGACGTAGAGTATCAGACTGGTGGCCATGACACTCAACGCAGCGTGCAGCCATTGCCGCTCCCACAGTGCAACAACAATGGCCAGTAGTATCCCCGTTGACGAGCACACGAGCTGAGCTTTTGCTTGATGGATAGACGACAGCAGCGTCAGTTTCTGCTCAAAGTAGCGCCCTGCAAAGTGACTCGCAGTCGCCCCCACTAGGCACACAGCTGTCCACGTCGTCATGGCGCTCCTGACGCTCGAATCGCTGTGCATCCGGTCGTTCATGAGCTGCTGGACCTGTTCAGCAGCACTCGCTGGTGTCATGAACGCCAGCACTGCTGCAACGCTCGTGGCCATTGCAATGGACAGCAGCGTCTGCGGCGACGCGTCATCGCGTGCATGAGCAGCGTCAACGACCAGCGACTGGACAGCGAGTCGCAGCCCCAGCGCCGCTCCCAGCAGCCCCAGTGTGTACAGCAGAGCGCCGTACGCGTCCGAATGGATGCCGGCCACCAGTAAGTAGCCCATCAGCAGCAGCAGCGCGTTCTTCTTGTCCCCTGTGGCGTTCCAGCGCTGAAGTTGCAGCAGCAGCGGGTCCACATGTTGCACCAAGAAGGCAAACAGCACGCCAAAGTGCCGCAGCGCCTGTAGCGTCAGATAGAGACTCAGCAGACGTTGCGCCGCGTCGAAAGTTGCGCGTTGCAGCTCGACGCGGCGGCGACGGAGGTGGCTTAAGTTGCGCGAAACACCCGCCGTCACCGCCAATACGCCGAGCTGAAGTAGCAGGAACTGAGCCAGGACCGCAAAGTCCCGCGTTGGGTGGAGCAGGAGCGGGCGCAAAAGTAGCAGCAGCAGCACCGAGCACGACGCCACCGCTGTGGCCACTGCAGCGCCGCCCCGAGCGCCACTGTCTCCGAGGTCCATTGGCACTGGAATTGTGTGGCCAGTTCCGACCGCGTGAGGTCACTCGCTTTGGCTGCCGACTCGTGGGTGGGGTGGGGAGCGAGCGAGCGAGCGAGTGAGTGAAGGCCGGTGCAAAGCTCTCTCCGATTTACTTGCGGCCTATCGACTGCCCCTACGCAGTGAGTGAGGACAGACACTTCGTAGGCGCACGAGGCGGTAGACGTGCGCTTGCGAGCCAAAGGAGAAGTAGAACGCGTAATGTGTTTTGTGCGTCAGTTGCGGACTGATCGACACTGAGGTCTGCTGCGACTCGACGGACGGCACTGGTCGATAGACCGACGGACCGACCGACCGACTCGTGTCGTTGCGTTGTGAGCTGCCCGTCTTCGTTCCGTTCGCAACTCAGATAGTCATTCGGTGCCGAGCACGAGGAAGCAGCTGTGACTGGCGGTTGGTGACTGGCGGCTGGTGACTGGTGACTGGTGACTGGTGGCTGGTGACTGGTGGCTGGTGACTGGTGGCGCTAGACACGAGTACGGGATGGTACAAAGCTGGAGCTCCACGAGCGTGGGGCGGTCGCGAGTTTCGCCTTTCGAGCTGCGAAGTAGCAGCAGGCACGATTGCTACTTCACTCGGACGTCGACCGGCAAAGTCCGTTTGTCCGACGGCAGCGCTTTTGTTACGTCAAAAGGCCGACTGTGACTGAGCCTATTCGATGCGCCAAAAGGTCGTGGGAGAGACTGGCAAACCTGCTACGTCGATGTCGAGTGTTTTACCCTGGTCTCGACCTGCAATACGTGATAATGAACATGCCTGCAGCTCTTGGGTAGTCAGTCAACAGACGTGGCCGTCTACGATCTTGTGACTTTCAGCAGCAGTTGTGTCAGCACTGCCTAAATAGTCTGTAGCATCGTTCGCTACATACTGAACTTGGCCTTGTCAAGGGTCAACGTCTTGCGTACAAGAGGAATCGCAGCACTCTGGTGAAGGCGACAAGAGGTCAGTACATACGCAATCGTTGGTAGTACGTGCAGCGTCGTCCAAGTGGCAATGGCTGATCGACCAAAGTACCGCAGAATGCTGTACCGAACCAAAGCTGGTTGGAATGAGTCTATGCTTCGACGCAGCGGGACGATGTATACACCAGTGGTCAGAGACAGTATTGTTGCTTGCATGCTGACAAGAGCTGATGCGCGTGCAGTGGTGGATTGCTATGGTGCATGAGGAAGAGTGCGCGGCTTCCCAAGACCCCGACCACATGTCCGCTATGGACACCACTTGGCAGGGCAATAAGCGTCGGATTGAGATTGACTTCCATGCTGTACGTGGGGAAGTGCTACTCGCATGTCATTCCGGCGTGACATCACGCCCCGTGCCTTAGCTTATTGGACCACGTTACCATCTACACACCCTCCACCTTGTAGCGCCACGAGATCGCGCGTATCTCGCTGTCTTGCTAGAACATGCAACGTCCACGACTGAAAGCAGGGGATGGATGCAACGAATCGAGCTGTGCTGTCACATATCGCAGCCTCATCGAGGACTTCGGGCTGTCGTGGCACGAGATTTGTGCCGCAAAGTTGGTGCAGCACGAGTTCCTTTGCGCTGCATGCGGCTTGGGCACCACATCTCCGCCTGCTTCCAGCTGTCGGCCTCGTCGACATACCGAAGCGGCGCACGAGGTGACAACAAGGTACGACCGATTGATTGCGTCATCCCCGAAACAAACCAAAAGAGCTTATCCAGTCTCTTTTTGTCAGATCGGCGTTCCAGTTTGCTTTCGCGGCGATCAGTTGGTTTCGGCGATAGAAATACAGAGAAACGCCCAATCGACGCGACCGCTATTTCACACAAAAAGTGTCGCTGCGTGTAGACTGTTGCGAGAGCTCAGTCAAGGACCGCATCGAAACGTGTTGGGTCAGTTGACTCCGGACAAGCCCAGCGCCAGCGTATCGCAGGATCTGCGTAATGCGTGACACAAAGGCGTCAGATGTGCCACACGGGTGAGTTGAGGACGGTACCGAACGGAAGCACACAGGAAGTGGCGACGGAATGTCTTTTGCGCGAGCTGAGAGTGCAGCGAAGTGGCAGAAGTGCAGCCACAAATGACGCGCCGTGCGCACAACGAGACGTGTAACTGCTGTGTGCAACAGCTTTAGCAGAAAAGAGCGCATCCAAAGCCGCCGCGTCGTTGCTCGAGCCGAGACAAAGAGATGGACCGACAGAGGGCGACGCAGCTTTTTTCCAAGACCGCCGGCCGCCACGTTGTGCGTTGCGTCAATCAGTACACGAATTCCAACGTTTGTCCTTTTCGAGTGCAACTACCAGAACGAACGACGTCTTGTCACGCGCGACGTCGCTACTTCCACCCCACGTCCTGCGGTGCGAATAGGTAAAGCGCAGTGCGATCCGGAGACGATGCGATTTTCGCACAACTCGTCCGACACATGTGCAGACGCACATACGCATGCGCCTGTCATGTGTGTCTTTCCTCGATCGCTTGAATCGTTTCCCACGGCGGAGCTCGAAACGGCGGGTGAAACTCCTCTCCGATCGCAGCGGTATGAGCGACGCACTTGTACTTTGGCAGCTAAAGACGCGCTTTCAACTGCACGCTCTCGCTCGCTCTCTCTCTACGACCCCTCGAACCTCTCTGTACAATGCTCCCCGTCAAGTACCTAGTGGCGATCGTCGCTGCTTGTGCCTCGCACACGTGCGTAGTGAACGGTGGGGGCTATCATGGTATAGTCCAGGAAGAGTTGGTACCTACGCAGACCCAAGTGGAGACGCCGTGCCCTGAGATCAAACCTCTTGTAGTCGAGACCGACGTACATGCGCTGAATTCGACAGCGACGCTGCACCCTGAGCTGGTTGCAGAGGTCCCGACGCAAGGAGAAGAGCACGTTCCGGTGCAAACCGATGTGGCCACTTTACCTGACTTGCCCGCTCCTACTCTTCACGCAGACGTAGAAAGCGGGACGCCAATGGTGGAACAACCCACACAGGATGGAGAGCATGTCGAGGTGCAAGTTGATGTGACCCCTTGTCCTGAGTTGCCTGTACCTACTCTTCATGTCGACGTGGAGAGCGAGACGCCAATGGTGGAAGTACCGACGCAGGATGGAGAGCATGTCGAGGTGCAAGTTGATGTGACCCCTTGTCCTGAGTTGCCTGTACCTACTCTTCATGTCGACGTGGAGAGCGAGACGCCAATGGTGGAAGTACCGACGCAGGATGGAGAGCATGTCGAGGTGCAAGTTGATGTGGCTCCCGAATTGCCCGTACCTCCAATCCAAACGCAGACTGACGCAGAGACCCCCGTGATGGAAACGCCCGTGCATGAGGAAGAGCACGTTGGGGTGCAACCCGAGACTCCGGATCCGGATGTGGCTTTGGTGCCAGAGACATCACCTCTTCAAACAGAGGATACGTCAGTGCCGGAAACAGTGCGCGAAGAAACGGTCGGAGAGTACCCGATCCCTGCACCAATGGTCCCGTGTCCGGCATTCACGTTGGTACCAGAGACGGCGCCTGAAGAGATGATCGGGGAATACGCGACACCGGCGATGGAGACGCCGTGTCCAGTGTTCACGTTGGTACCCGAACTGGAGCCTTCTCGTGTCGAGACAACAATTGAGGCGCACCCGGACCTGACGCACGTCCAGCAAGAAACTTCACCTGAATCAGACACGCCCATGACTGGTGACGTCCTGGAGCCTCACTTTACTGGAGCCCAAGTGGGAAACTCGGGCACAGAGCAGACGGATGAAGTGGTTGTGGTGGAAGACAGCACGGGCCCAATGCAGTTGGCGATGGACCAAATGGATCAAAGCGCGAGCCCAATGCAGTCGGCAATGGACCAAGTGGATCAAAGCGCGAGCCCAATGCAGTCGGCGGTGGACCAAGTGGATCAAAGCACGAGCCCAATGCAGTCGGCGATGGACCCAACGGATCAAAGCACGGGTTTCTTCGATACCGGAGTCGATGCCATTGTTGAGACTCCGGAGGACGTGGCAGATGCCATCACGGCTGACCCGACGGATATCATCACGACCAACTGAGTCATCGACATGATCTCGGACCTGCCATCTCACTGACGTGCAGTCTCCGATCAAACGCATTTCAGAGCGAATGGGCTTCAAGCTGATCGTAGCTGCTGCAGAGTCGTAAGGAACTAGCAACTAACGTCATCGCGCCTCCCTGTTTGCCTTGTATAGATTTTACTTCTTCCAATATACACTTTACATCATTCGCTTGAGCATACAGCGCGGCCGCTTTCATTGCTCGATCGATCGAACGGCTTTCAATCACAGCTTTGTTCACGTCGAGATTAACCTCCTCGTACTAGGCCAAGATCATTCCACACCAGACTTCGTTCCACCGTTTATTGACGTCGTTTGCTACACGATCTGCTCCATCGCATGACAGCGATGATACTGCAGCCGTTTGTGTGCAGCCGCCACATCTCAAACGTCTATAGCATCGACAACAAGTCTACAATCATGAGTGAACGTTTGTGAGGCGCCTCAGTTATGGCGTCAAGAGGAGGTGCGTTGTGTAAGCTTTTACAATGGATATCGTCGTCCATCACTGTACAGCCTGTCCGTCCTGCGTCACCTGACTATTCTATCCCTTAGGCGTTTACTCATCTAGTCTTCGCACACGCTACGTTGAAGGGATACCAATCCTGCTGGCGAAGCCAAACGTTGGTCTCTGACGCGCACACAGCCTTCAGATCACATGATCGAAGATCGCAATCCGTTCGTAGTCGCGCGACTCTTCCCATAGTTCTTCTAATCCGACGTGTGCTCTTGACTCAGCCACAGCTCTCGACTCAGTCACCACTAATTCTACGAACTCGGACGCAGTTGTTCTCCAGCAGGTGGAGCTGCCGCAGACACCCAAGTTTTTTGCTATGCAACACGAGCCCCAAGACAGGATCAAAGTCGCTTGTCACAGTCGTCGAGGCAGTGGGATCCGAAAAGTAGAACTCGATCGAGTCATTGTAAAGTCGATTCGACGCGGCCGTATGTGGCATCTGCAGTGGACACCCACTTGACCGACGCATTGACCCACCGCCACACGTCATCGACCTCTGACGAACGAGTCTCTGCTCACCAATGGGTCACTAGTTGCTGAATCTCCTCCTCAAGTGTGTGCAAAAGAGAGCTGTTGCAGGCAGCCAACAGTGTGACACGACGGATGGATGTGACGGGACGGTTGGGTACCACTGATACTGAGCCGGGCGTTTCTGTGCACACACACCCCGTCCCCCGTCTGTCTGTGGTGTGTCTGTGGTGTGTCTGTGGTGTGTCTGTGGTGTGCATCCCTCGCCCACGTCCATAAACATTATCAGTCTCCACAAAGGCGATGAATCTCCTGCAGGCCAAGAGCAATCAGTACCTGCGCGAGGCCATCCTCGAGGGTAGCGTGGAGAAAGCGCGACGGTACCTGACGCTCAAGATCGGCAGAGCAGATGTCGCAGCCCTCACGGATAGCGGCGGCTTCTCGATGCTGCATTGCGCCTGTCTCGTGGGCAACACACAGCTCGCGATGATGCTGCTGCAGTACGGGGCCGACGTGCTCGCGCTCACGGACGTACGACGGGCGACGTCGGCCAATCGGCTGTCTGCAATTATCTGAGTCTGATGCGATCCTTTGTTGTTTTGTGTGCTCTGCATTGCTTGTACGACTCCTGGGGCGTTTTTCGCAGGATGGCTACACGGCACTGGATCTGGCGATCTGGAGAGGCCACTTGCAGATCATTGAACTGCTGCGGTCTCAGGGCTGCGTGGCGCCCATGAAAGGTCCGCGTTTGTGTGTGTGGGTGATCTGTGATCTGTGTGGAACACAGGAACAAGGGAACACTAGCGCTGCTACTGCTGCTGATGATGATGATGACAGCTCACTCGATTCTCTGCTCATGTGTCTGCAGAGCCCGAGAGTCTCAATGGCAAAGTGATCGTGCATCTTGGCCGCAGAGCCACGGTCGTGTTCTTTGAGCCGTCGACGAGCATCCACACGAGCAGCCTGCGTGGACTGTACTATGAAGACACAGGAGAAGCGAAGCTCGTGAACCTCTGGGCGGGATCGGACTACAAGATTGTCGGCTCAAACTTGTACTACGAGGAGCTCCACAAGCTCGACTACCAGTACGCAGAGATCCCCGTGACGTTGCTACAGGACTACGATGCCATGCTGCAAGGGGCACTGCAAGGAGCGGCTTTCTTTGACAATGACAGTGACAGCGAGAGTGGCGACGAGATTGACGAGATCGTGGAAGTGCGAGTGCCGCCGGGGCCCTTAGGTGTGCTGCTGGACAGCGGGATCCAGGAGTGTGCCGTCGTTCGCGGCTTCGTCAACCTCTCGGATGGCGAAAAAGGCGTTATTGAGCTGCATGGCAGCGTGCATCCGGGCATGTACATCATGAGCATCAACGAGACCAACGCGTCGCTCATGTCCCTGCAGCAGGTCACGCAGCTGCTGGGTAAGCTTGCTCGCAAGGAAAAGCTCATTCGGTTCGCCGACTTCCATCCCGGATCGCCACACAACCGCAGCACTGCGAACACGGTATCGGACGACTCCATTCAGCGCTCGTCGGTCACGTCCACTACTTCCCTCCAGTCACCCGTCCCGGGTAGCGCGAAACCGCCAACCCCGAGCTCCAGCCTCTCGAGCTTCTCCTCGCGCTTTGCAAACCTGGCCGCTTCCGTTCTGGAGAAGAAGCCGCCGACTCCTCGCACGAGTGTCACGTCGTCTGCGGATGCAGGCACGCCGAGGGCCGCGGCACAGAGCTGCGACGAGTACCGCTGAAGAGGGCCTGGACGTAGTACGTCGGCCAGTCAGTCACACAGCTCGTATGCAAAAGTTCTTTACTTTAGTCGATCATGGACTTTACTGTTGTGCTCAGGTGTTTCCTTGCCGCAGACCTGTTCACGCATAGGCTCAGGTTCATTCTTCTCGTTAGCTAAATAATACGTTTGGTGAGTGCTTGCATCCATTTGTGGTCCGCTACAGCACCATGTAAAGCGTGCCCCGAAACACGTCGGGGCCGGGCAACGTCCAGGATGCAAGCGCACAGTTCTGGTTGTAGAAATACTGCTTGCCCGTCGTCTGAGAAAGCACCGATTGCCAGCCCGAGCCCGTGCCGTCGGGACTCTCCCCGATGTCTTCGAACGTCGAGTCGACGAGGTAATCCACAAAGCTGCCATCGCCCATGGCGAGCGTCAAGTTAAACAGACTTGTGCGGTGGTTGCTACACTGCTTCAGATACTGCTGCGCGCGACGAGCCGCTGGTGCGGCGTGTCGGTCCAACAGACTGACGAAGTTGGCTGCAATCTTGGCGGCACGCTCAGCCTTCGCCTTGGTCTCAAACGTCGTGAGCGCAGCCATTGCTGTTTGCGTGCTGACTGGAGTCTCCGTTGTTTGCAGAACACGCAGTCTTGCCGAGATTTGATTCATGCGGTCCAAATGCATCTGTAGGTCCTCGACTTTGATTGCCTCTTCTTCTGATGCTTCGGAGCCCTGAACTGGAGCCGACGATGGAGCTGAACGGCCGCCGTCGCCGGTCACCAGGTTCTTCTTGCTGACACTCGCAAAATTATCTGACAGCGAGTCAGCAGCCCTCGGTGGCGGAGGCGGTGCACCGGCTGGCCGCAGCGATGGTGCTCTTCTTGTTTCGCGACTCTGCCGTCTGCCAGAGCCAACGACCACTCGCTTCGGCACTTTACGAACCACCATCGGTACCTCGACTTCCACTTTGTCCAAACAGAGCAAAGAGGCATTTCTCGCATTTTCAGACTGAGCCGCCCCGTCTACGAGCTGCTCCGACTTGATGATGCTACGTCGCGGGACAATGCCGCCATGTTCGGGATGAACCTTCCCTGCAACAAATTCGTCCGTCTTGAAGCTCCGTCGAGGCACAAAACTCACAGTGACGGGCTCGACTTCCTCTATGACCAGCTCTTCCACCCCGACTGCTCCAAACTCTTTGCTGCGCCGCGGAACGGTACAGAAGTTCTCGGGCGTCACTTCTTCAATGATGAGCTCTTCCACCTGCACAGGAACTGGAACGCCGGTCTCACTTCGTCTTCCGAAAGATCGACTCTCCACGATTTTCGAGTTCTCGTCCACCGTAAGAAAACTAGCCGATTCCGAATCACTTGACGCAGTGTCCAGCTTCGCATTCTCTTCTTCTGTCAGAAAACTAGCCACTTCCACTTTTCGTACCGGTGGCATGTCCATCTCCAGTGTCACCACTGCTGCAGATTGACGCATCGGACCCTTCTTGTAACCTTCCGTGTCCAGAAAATTGCCAGCGCCGTCCACAGTAGGCTTACCCCCCATGTTGCTGTACTTGGCTTGCTTCGGTGCTTCCACGTCAAGCTTTCTCTCCGAGTGACGCGTGGGCAAAATCTCCTTGTACTTCTCAACACCAAGGTCAAGCTTTACAGGTGCAGGCGCGTGTACACTATCACCAAGCACTTGTGTCTGATACCCTTCAACGCCCAAGCGGTCCTCATCGTGACCGGGCGACAGAGACGACGTAGACGCCTTTGACAAACGCTCGCTCTTGCCCAACGAAGAAGACGTCAGGCGGACTTGAAACACGCTAGGTACCTGTTTGCGCAATGTAGAAGACCCGTTGCTACTGCCACGGCCACTGTCTTCAACAGAATCCTGCGAACTTGTTCCCGCAGTGGAGTCGGATAGAAAACTGCGTCGAGTTTCGTCCGAAGTCTTTCCTGCAGACACGTGCGAGCGCGCCAGAAACGAGCCGTTCGATGCTAACGAACTACGGACACTGCCCTCCGAGCTGACGTGAGAAATCTCGCTATGTCGCGCAGACGATGCGCGTCGAGGCAGCTCTTTGTTCTGCATAGTGCTGCTACACTTCAGACAAATACGCGTCTTGCGCTTCCCTCCAGGTGCCGAGAGATCGCTCAGTCGCTGATGCGCAGTCACGAGCTGGTGCACACTGCACTGGCTACAAACGACATCGCCACATGCCGCACAGCTATACTTCTTCCGCACGAGCGAAAAGCTGCGCGTGCACACCACGCAGCAAATACGGCGGCTGAGCGGCACCATGTCCCTCGGTCCAGCGTACACCAACATATCGAGGCGGCGCTGGTTGATGTGGTCGCGGATACACGCCGAGCGCATCGCTGCCGCGTCGACCATCTTGTGCACCAGCCAAGACGGCAGTCCGTCGCCCAGATCGTTGATCATCATCGTGACAAACTCCAAACTTCCGGGCGCTCGCTCGCTCCACGTCTGCAGCGTCAACGTCTTGGCCCGCACGAACAAATGCTTCGTGTCCCGCGGCGGCAGGACGTCCAGGTCCACGCTCTTGCTCAGGCGATAGCCAATACGACGGCCGTCTTCGTCTTTGAAGGAATCCACGAGCTCCACGTACACGTAGTCGCGGTGCTTCGCCACCGAGGACGCCATCGACCGCGTGCAGTGCCACTTGACGCACACGAACCGCTCCTCGGGCGTGCGCGGCACCAGCGTGTACAGCACTTGGCCGTCGAGGAACTCACTGGGGTTCACTGCGTGCTCGAACTCGGCAAAGTCCGCCGTCGTCTCTGTGATCAACAGGTCGCTGAGCTCGCGGGACGTTGCGCTGATGTTGCAGCTCCCGCGCACGGCGGCGTCCAGCGTCGCGTCGTCCGGTCCGCTCCGCGCGCGGCGGATCGTCACGCCGTCTCTCGCGCGACTGGGCGTCCAGCGCACGCGCCCAAAGCCGAGGCTCAGGTTGTGGGCGCTGTCCACCGACCGGTCGATGAAGCTGACGAGCGCGTGCACGCGGTCGCTCGAGAGCTCGGGCAGCGGCGGCGGCGCCCCGTCGCTCACCATGGACGACGACATGGCCTCGTCCCGCAGACTCGAGGGCGACGTGGCCGACGACGACCGCGAGCGCGTCGAGGGCGACGGCGCCACGAGCCCCTCAGCGGGCCGCACGGACTTTTGCAGGCGCAGCTGACTCGACGGCCGCTGCAGGCGCTTGTGCGCGTGCGCGGCAGACGACGGCAGCGGCTCAAACGGATCGTCGTCGTCGTCGTCGTCCGCGCCATTGTCGTTGTCGTCGGCCTCGTCGTCGTCGTCGCAGTCGACGTACGTCGAGCGTCGGCCGGTGCCGCTGTCGGTCAGGTGGTCGAACGTCTGGCGACGGCGGCGGTGCAAGTTGAGCTTCGCGACGCTCAGTGCGGCGCTGAGCGTCCCCGAGGCGGCCGACCCGAGTGCCGAGACGGCGCGCGGGGCGGCGGCGACGAACGATCGCCCCATGGAGGCGGACGCGCCGCGCGGGGACGTGAGAAAAGGCGCGTACTCGGGGCGCGGCATGCCACTGGCGGTGTGCTCGCACTCGGAACTGGCGGCAAGAGGGACGTGGGGAAAGGAAAGAGAGCGAGCGAGCGAGAGAGAGAGAGAGAGAGAGAGAGAGAGAGGGGGCGGCTGGGCTTATTGTTGTTGTTGTCCGGAGCTTGCGCCCAGCTGGCGCGGCTAGGGCATCAGACTGGCGCAACAGAGCCGGGGCAGTGCGCGCTCGACATCAGGTGCGCGCGCGCGGCTGCAGCAGCAGCAGCAGCCATTCGGGCCGGCCGGGCCTTTTTCTGCGACATGATGGAAACCACACGCGCAGCGCGCGGGCACATAGAACGAGCATCGTGCCGTTGCGCGCAATGGTTTTGAAACGCCACGACCTTTCGCGAGTGTCGGTGCAACACGAGGGGGCGACGGAAGTGCAGTGTCTGCGTGTGCGGGTCGGCGCGCCAACGCACTGACCCGATTCGCCGACTCGACGTTTCTCGGGTCAGCGCGCGAGGCACGCCGCCAGTTGCGCGGCTGTCGGACAAAAGACAGTGGATGGAACGGTCGAAGATAAAGGAAAGAAGATAAAAGGGAAAGGGAAAAGAATTAGTGGCGAGGAAACGCGTCGCCTATTGCCGGGGGCGGGCGCAAAAACGCGCCCTGTGCGCCGCCCGGTCCGCCCCGTTCCTCGGGTGTCGATGAGAAAAGGAACACAACGAGACGACACGTGGGGCTGCGGTAGGGTTGTTGGACCGGCTTCCCCCCCCGTGCCCGCATACAAACCCCAAGTGCGCAATAACGCGCACGCGAGCGTCATGCCGCCTGTTTTCGTGGTCGTGGGCGACCGCCGCTACGCGCTGTCCGAGACGCTGCGCAGCGACGCGCTGGCCCCGATCTTCGCTGACGTCTGGACGGCGTCACGCGTGTGGGACGCCAGCCGCTTCTTGGCCGAGCGCCTCGTGCGCTTCGCCTCGTCCGAGTCGCCCGTGGCGTTCGACGTCCGCGCCGGGCAGTCCGTGCTCGAACTTGGCAGCGGCTGCGGCCTCGCGGGGCTCGTGGCGTCCAGTCTGGGGGCCGACGTGCTGCTCACGGACCAGAAAGAGGCACTGGAACTGCTGCGGCGCAACGTCGAGACGAACGCGGCGTCCGAGAGCGCGCGCGCGCGACTGCACGTGGCTGAGTGTGACTGGGGCGCGGACGAGCGTCTGCCCCGCGACAGCTATCGCTACGTCCTCGTGTCCGACTGCATCAATCCCATTTACGGCCGAGAGAGCTGGCGGAATCTCGCGCGGACGATACGCCGATTCAGTGACGGCGAGACGCGCACGTACGTGGCGCACGAGGTTAGGGGAGAGGACGAAGCCATGACGGACTTTCTCGCGTTTTGCGCCGACTGGTTCGTGTGCGACTGTATCGACCGCGAAGGTCCGATGCGGTTGTTTAGGCTGACAGAGCGGTGCGAGTGAGAGAGGAGGGAGGAAGAGCGGCGACGGCATTGGTGACTGACTCAACGGTTCTGAGGTCGAGTGAGGACCACCGGGCGGTCTGTTTATGACTACGTCGTGCGACTACGCAAACGTATTGTGAATGAAAAGTCGTCTCGGTCTTTTGCAATAACGATATCGTTCTTCCCTTCGCTGACTCCTTCTGCTGACTCGAGATATCGGACCTTCTAGAGGGGAGAGATACTCTGCAAATGGCACGTAAGACTGTTAGCAAGCTCGGGGTGCATGCAGGGCGTGCAAAAGGGAAGCCAATCGCTGCGTCGGACAGTTCCGACCGGTCATTTTGGCTCGTCCGTGGCGTGTACATCCATCCGGCACTGAATCGATCGGACGGCATCACGTGCTGAGCGACTTTTTTTCGTGGGACTGGGCTTTGCGGTCGGTAAACAGGTCGGCGACTCGAAGACAGTTGTACAAAGGCAGCAGGTTGCGGATATCTGGACCGACGCAGGGTGTCGACGCTCTGTCGATGTGCTACACGGACTGCGGAATGTCGTGCCTGGGGCTTCCTTTCCGATTCGCGGGCTGGTGGCGCACGCAGCGGAAAGAAGACCTCTTTCCTTGAATCTCAGCTCTGCTACAAAGACGTTCCGCCCAGAAAAAAGAGTTCGTATACCAGCTATTCGAGGTCTTCACCACGTGGCCAATGGTCTGCTGCGACTGCAGCCACGTCAGGTCGATACGTCAGGTCACCACGTCAGGTCGATACGTCAGTTCGCCACGTCAGGTCGATACGTCAGTTCGCCACGTCAGTAAGATGGAAACTGTTGAGGCTGGTGGACGTCAGAGTCCAAGTAGGACTATGTAACAACCCCTACGACATACAACTTCAACGTTTTGAACCTCGCTGTCGACTGGACGTGAGTTGCTTTCTAGCGAAGGCTTTGCTCTCGTTCGGTCATCGGGTCTGACGGGTAGTTGTCATCGCTTGTTTCATGATCGCCACGCACGTGTTGTTTTTGGGCGAGTCTGGCACGAGGTACGATAGCGACGAGACCATTTACTGGCAACAGTTGCTACGGCGGAGGACAATGGGACCCTCGGAAGGCGTCACAGGATCGCCCTGATGGACAATCGCGACATATGTTCACTGGCGTCAGATGCATACTCACTGGAAGGCAAAACTGTTTGCTTGGTGTGCTGCGATGGTTATCGCAAGGGCGCTTACCACGCTCTGAGTTTATGCTCGTAATCCGCATCACCACTGTAAGTAGCTGCTGGCACGTTGCACTGCAACGCACAGTTCGACAAGCGAAGCTATCGGCAATCTCGATAGCACGTCGATGCCCTCTATGAAGCCACAGATTGGGATATGAGCTTCTGGAGGTAATGTCATCGATGGCGCACTGTGTCGACAGTTGTGCGCCTCGTCGTCGATTGTTTGATGCGAAGTGTCCGGTACTACTGTAATCTTCAGCATCGCAGAGGGAAAAGCGACGCTACATTGTATAGTATTGCGATCAAAAGATCTGTTAGCAATTTTATCGCAAAAGTTTCAATTTTTATAGCGAAATTGTAAAAACACCGTCCACGACACAATATCAGTCTGAACTTCAGCTTGCAGACGTTTTCAGCAAGTAACTTAACAATTCAATACCATTGGAATTGCTTCACTATAAACTTTGTGATTGTGACATCATATCATCACGTTTTCGCTAAAGAAATGCTACAAATTACTCACAGACATGACAGCGACGGCTAGCTGCTAAGCATTCAGTGTTGGCAGATACGTACTTCGCACCCAAAACTTAATTATGTTCGGAATTAGCTCCGCGGCTACCACTTGTGTGGATCTCTATGCTTCTCTCATTTCTCCTATTCCTACCTCAAATGTAAAAGATGGCGGACTCGCTAGTTCCTAACTCAGCGAGTGTTAAGTTGCTCCAAAAATAACAAACGGCGCTATTCACTACATTACGTGGTACCTTTCGAACGCCTTAAAGAGGTGGCATAACAAGATCTACTCCAACATACCTCCTCGAGTCGCCTTTCGTCTTCTCTCCTCTATTTTTTCGCTTCGCTCTTGAACATCATGTAGCATTTCTTCCACCCTTTGCATCCTTTAAGAGATACATATGAGCTTACGAAGCGGTAAAAGCTTCTTAGCGTCAAGCGCCTTCGTCACTAGGTCTGTAAGCATCATCTCGGACCTGAGGTAGCACAAAGTAAATACATTTCGCCGCACGAAGTCACGCAAAAACTTCAAATTGACGTCCACGTGGGTCACCTTCAGCGATGACGCCTATCCCGCAATTTGACAGACTGCTGCTTGAAAATCGACGTATAATTGCATTAGGACGGCTAACGCAAGAATACATTAAGTAAGCATCTCGCGGAGACAGCCATTTCGCGCGCAATCTTTGAAGCTGCAATATACTCCGACTCGATAGTCGACAACTGTAACGGGTAACTGGTAACAACGTACTGGTTTAACAGTACGGAGCTCACTTCCACTGACAACAGTGATAGTCAGTGCCCTGCTAAGTGTTGCACCAACACAGAGGAAGGAAAGGAGACTAGTGAACAAGCTAGTCTCTGGTAAAAGTAAAACTGTTATTTATTATAATTAGGTCCTATCATTCTTATGTCTCTGTTTATCCTGACTTAATTATATTAATCTAACTAAACGTATGATGACGTCTACTCACCACCCATTGCGCGCGTCTAGCAGCGATTGGTGGTTTGATATCATCACGATATCAACCAATGAGTAGACCCTTCGGTCATCTTCAACAATATCATCACTCGCCTCTGTAGTATTGTTGAAAGAATATCCAACGTAATATTCTTTATTGTAATATTATCCTTAGTGACAATATCATGTAACGGGCTACCCCGTTACAACAACGACACACCATCTTGCTTGCGCACACCAGCTTACTGCCATACCATGTCACTCAGGACCAGTAACACGCCGTTCATCAATTTTATATCAGCCTCGTCAACCGCGGAGTCAGCATCGCTGAATACTAGTAGTCATAATGATTGACTGCGATCCTAGCTCAGCGCTATTGCTATTTTTGAGTCCTCTGCCCGTTTAAGTACCGAGGAATTCTATTGGTGAAGTTCCAGACTCGCTTGCGCGGCGCGTACGTCTGCTGCATGGCCTTGTTCACTACAAACAAGATGTTGGGCCGCGTGCAACGCGCTACCCATAAACGGCTACGATCGTAAGGAAGTAGCAACGCCTTATTAAGGAAGCTACTCCTTGTGCACTTAGTGCGTTTGATTATTTGAATCGTTTGGTCCCCCTGGAACAGGGACCGTAATCTCTTTGAGCTTGTTGACTCTTTGAGTCGGGTTCTTTGAACCACCCGTAAGCTCTTTGAGCTTGTTGACTCTTTGAGTCGGGTTCGTAGAACCAAAGTTGCTCGTAAGAGCGTTAAGTCTTCCTCTGGCTTAAGGAGCTGTGTAGCTCCGCTACACTTGGTAGCACTAGTAGTCAATTCACACCTGAGTCGGTAACGACTGATCCTCTGTGAGGATGGAGCAATCCACACCCCTCTCTGAGGCTCAAAAGGTCGCGCTTGAGAAGCCGACCGCGGCCATAAGCCCTGAGTATATGGAGTTTCTAGCTGCACAAGGTCCCGATGTGCTCAATGCACGGGTCGAGTCCTTCATGCAGTATGAAACGGCCCTTTTAGGGCAGGTTCAAAACCAAGTAGCGTCGGCTATGCCAACACTCTACGTGGCGATGACAAATGAAGAGGCTAAGCCTCGTCCCCTTAGGGTGGACGTTAAACATTACTCCGTGAAGGAGGGGGGAAACCGGACCCTCTGGATCCGTGAGCCATGAGCTCTGGCCTTATCTCACTGGAGTACCAGCGGTTCTCGCTGGCCATCTCCAAGCTCGATGGAAGAGCAAGAGAGTGGGCTCTGACGTGTGGCACGTCGGTCGACTTGGCGTTTCCCACATGGGATTAGCTCAAGTTAGACCTATTGCGAGTTTTCTCGCCGCCTAACCAGACCTATCGCGTGCGCTCACGCTTCTTGTCTACCCGTCAGGGTAAGAATGAGCTAACGGACTACTTCCAAGAGTTGAGAACTTTGATGGCTGCTCTGCAGTCTGACCCTCTCCCTGAGACAGTCTATGTGACTGTCTTCATGGAAGGTCTTCTTAATGGCGTTGCCAAGACCGAGGTGTTTCGGGTCCATCCCTCTACTCTTGAGAAAGCTGTTAGCATCTCTCAAAATGCTGAGCACACCTTCAAGTCGGCCAGACTTGGTTGGAATAGGTACAACCTAATATTTGCGAGGGCTACCTCTGCGAACACCTCGGCTTACTGTAAGTCAGAACCGATGGATCTCAGCCATGCTGAAGATGAAGGTGAAGCGGAGCTTCATGTTGCAGAGCAACGACAGGAAGTGAGACGCTGTTATATGTGTGGAAGCACAAAACAATTGCGTCCCACTTGTCCTTTGCGCAAGCAACAACCGACTCCTATGGGTCGAAACCCCAGCCACAACCAGAAACCTGGTATGGCACGGGGAAACGTCGACACCCAGTAGGCGCGGGGCGCCCTACTGGGGTAGAACTGAGTTCTGTTGCTTCTCCACGAGGTAGAGTGAAACAGGGCTTAGCCCCACCGAGCTATGTGCCCACCAGCACAGAGCGTGGATACAAGCCTGGCTTGTTAGTCGCCGAGGCGAAGGTTAAAGGCTTTGAGAAGCATTGGTCGATCCTAATCGACTCCGGAGCATCATGCAATTATGCTCGACGTCGTTACCTTGAGGGAAGTCAGCGATACACTGAAGCGCTCAAAGCGCATGAGGGTGATTTAATCACCTTTCGTTTAGCGAATGGTAGTCGCGTCACGGTGCCTAAAGCTCCGTTGAACTTAGGTGTGAAGTTTTTGGACTTTGACATCATTGAACGCTGTCTTGTCCTCGATTTGGATTCGAGATACGACCTCATACTGGGTATGGCTTGACTTGAACGCCATGAGCCATGGATTGATTGG